CTACTTCCATGTGACCCTTCTCATTTTGAGCTCATTTATGAACCCATGGCATTCTCAACAGTCAAATACTCACAAGCTGCAATCATCTATGGCAAACTAAAGATTGTTCTTACCTGGGGACACAACTGGGGGTGCTCAGGGGTTACACCTGACTGGCTGCTCAGGGGATTATGCACTGCCAGTGTTGAACCCAGCCTCCCAGATGTAATGTGTGTGCTCCATCCAGCCCTTTGAGGCACCTCCCTGGCCTCAAAATTATATTCTCTAAAATCAAAGTGAACTTGCTGAATACCAACCAGTTCTACCATGTCCTTTTTCTTTTCTTTTTGGGTCACACCGAGTGATGCTCAGGGGTTAATCCTGGCTCTGCACTCAGGAATTACTCCTGGCAGTGCTTGGGGGACCATATGGGACGCTGGGAATCAAACCCGGGTCAGCTACATGCAAGGCAAACGCCCTACCTGCTGTGCTATCGCTCCAGCCCCTCTACCATGTCCTTTATCACTAGGATATAACCTTCACTAACTTGAGTCTGGTCCTTGACTAAAAGAAGAGGGCCCTGGAGAAAGTGCAGAGGGTGAAATACTTGCTTTGCACACAGCTGACCTGGGTTCAATCAGTCTCCAGCACTGCATATGGTTCCCTGAGCCCTGTCAGGAGTGATCTCTGAGCACAGCTGGAGCATTGCTGGGTGTGCCCCTGCCACCCCACTTCCTCCCGAAAAAAGAAGTCTGTGTTTAGGGGCTAAAGAGGGGGCTCAGAGGGATGAGTGCATACTTTGCATGTGGGAGATGTAGGTTAAATCTCTTGCACACATGATCCCTTGTACACCGTGTTGGGAGACCTTCAAGCACAGAGCTGGGAGGAACCTCTAGCACTGCCAAGGGGTGACTCAATTCCCACCCATCTCCAACAAAAAAAGACATAACTGCATGTAAAGTATAGTTAAACTGCACCTAGACTATAGATTAGTTCAGTTCTCCTCAGTCACTCAGTTATATTTCATGAAATAATCCTTTAAAAAAAATAGCCTCTCAGATAAAGGGTAGTAACTCTACTACTACTATACTACTCCTTAAGCTACTCAGGAATCACTCCTGGTGGGGCTGGGGGGGACATATGGGACACCGAGGATCAAACCCAGGTCAGCCACGTGCAAGGCCAGCGCCCTACCAGCTGTACTATCACTCCATTCCCTAAACACAGAGGCTGTTTTAATTTGCTGCCCTAAGACACATTAGACTGGGGGCTGAAGGGACAGTACAGCGGGTATGGGGAGGGCTCTTGCCTTGCATGCAGCTGGCCTAGGTTCGACCCCTGGCATCCCATAGTCCCCTGAGCACCATCAGAAGTGCCTCCCCATAAGACACATTAGACGAAGTTATCGGTTAAAATCACTTAAAAGTAACCATAAATATCTTAAAATACATTTTGCAAGTAACTTACTATGTTGAATACTATACTAGGGAATCTTAAAATAACTGAATTGGGACTGGAGAGATAGTACAGTGGCTAGGGCACCTGCAGTGCATACAGTTAACCTGGGTTTAACCCCCAGTACCCCACATGGTCCTCCAACCATATGGAGTAAGTAAGCCCTGAATACTTCTGAGTGTGGCCAAAAAATAAAAAAACTGTGTGTGTGCACACTTAACCTAACATTATATATTCCTCTGCTATTTCAAAACAAAATGTACCTCACTACATTGCCATCTTAACTTTCACAAGCTAATCTGGGGATGTGGCTTATCAGTAAAGTACTTACATGCATGTATGTATGAAGCCCTGGGTTCAACCAGGCACCACCGCCCCCACCAATAAATAAATAAATAAAATGTAACAATAACAAAAACTAAATATACGCCAGGCCTTTCATAATTCTAATGTCAAGTGGCAGGAGCAATAGTATAGCTGGTAAGGCACTAGCTTTGTGCATGGCCAACTTGGGTTCGATCCCTGGCACCCCAAGCCTGCCAGGAGTGATCCCTGAGCACAGAGCAAGGAGTAAGCCCTAAGCACTGCCAGGTGTCGCCCAAAAACAAAAAGTTCTAAAGTCAAGTATAAAGAGAGAATTTCTTCCCAGAATGTGTATCTAAAGGGATGAAAAGGCACATGTCAGGTATAGTGAGTAAAGCGCTTGCCTTGCATGCAGATTGATCCCTGACACCACAGAGGGTCCCCTGAGCACCACCAGAGGTAATCCCTGAGCACAGAGTCAGAGTATCATCCCTGAGCAGCGCCTACCGTGGCCCAAAAACAAAGAGCAGCACAAGTCCACTTTTATACCAAGTAGTGCGCTTATTAAAAAGCAAGGACAAAACTTCAAATGTGCCTAACTGGTTTACTGATTTAAGTTATACTCTTTTAAACATAAACATCAAATCTGACTCATTCTTAAACTAAATGGCACATTCTTCCTTTTATCATTGTTAAAGGAAAAGAAAAAGTAGTTTAAAAACAATTCTACATTGGGCCACCAAAATAGGATAATGGGCTAGAGTGCTGCCTTTATCCCTGACATCATCATATACTCTGAGGACTGACAGGTGTGGCAAAAAAAAAAAAAAAAATATATATATATACACACACACGCACACAAATATATATAAATATATATAAATTCTATCTCCAGAAAAATATCTCTTTTTCACGGAATTTAGCTTTCAATATCAAAAAAGAGCAATTTATAGTTACTAAAACAATATCTTTGAGGCTGGAGAGATAGCACAGCGGGTAGGGCGTTTGTCTGGCACGCGGCTGAACCGGGTTCGATTCCCAGCATCCCATATGGTCTCCTGAGCACCACCGGGAGTAACTCCTGAGTGCAGAGCCAGGAGTAACCCCTGTGCATCGCCGGGTGTGACGCAAAAAGCAAAAAAAAAAAAAAAAAAAAAAAAAACAATATCTTTGACGAGACTCTGGGGGGGTGGGGAGGGAAGGGTTGGGGAGACCATACCCAGCAGTGCTCAATACTTAACCCTGGCAGGGCTCAGGGGACAGGTTAAGTCACGTGCAAGGTAATTGCCCTATGTGTTGTACTACAGCTCAGGCCCCACTGATGACTCCAGAAGTCAAAAGTAAAGCAGGAAATGGGGAGACAGCTCATGTATCTATAGTGTATGTTCTGCATATGTAAGTCCCAGATTCCATGAGCCTTGCAGGGTGTGGTCCAAAAGGAACCAAAAGAAAAAACAAAAACCAAGGAAAGCAAGGACTGCACTTTCAAAGCCAGTTCTTTATGTAATTAATGCAAAGAAGATACTATTTACTAAATTCAGCTGACCCCCAACTGGTGAAATCTACATTCTTTATAGACTACATATGATGCTATACAGTTCTATGAACATGACATAGGAAGACTGATCCCACAAATTCGAAAATGTTCCTAATGCACAGAGAAAGACCAGCACTCCTTCAATGAGCCGCTTTTTACTATTTTCCCTAGTAACGTCCCATTCCTACCACAAACCACTAATAAAGTGTCTAGTCACCAACATTAGACTCCCAGTCTGAGGGAATAACATCTATGACACATCCTCCAAAGGCCAAGAAGAAAACCACCAAGAAACCTGACAGTTAAGGATCTTAGCTGTACCTGCTAGAGGAGAGGCAGCAGAATGAAAAATAACGAATTAGCCTTATCTCCATGTCTTCAAGATGTAAATGAGAGGTTTCCCAAAGCCCCTCATTTCTGGGAGCTCTGGAAACTTGCTTTCACTCCATTTCCCATCTTTTCCACTTGTGAATGACTTTGTACACAATTAAAGCAAATATCACAGTGAGGATCGCCAAGGCTAGCAATTTTCTACAAACCATGGCATTCCCGTGACCATAAACACACCTTAGACAATTCTGATACAACCTATAGTTTCCATTCACTTGTCAACCACAGGGCCTAATCCTCCAGACCCAAACTTTCAAAATAAAACAAAACAAAAAAAAAATTTTTTTAAGGGAGTATCCTTGCCAGATTTGCACCCAAACTTTTGAGAACTGACGATCACATAGGCACATGTGCCTATTTGATAAAAATCTAGGATCCCACGGCTGGGCAAGCCAACATCGCATCCAGATGAATTGTTACACTCGTGTTCGGACGTCAGAGACGTTAACCCCACCGACCCAATCCCAAATCCTGCGTGCGTGTCACCGCTTCCAACGCGGCCCCAACTTTCTCAGCTTTTGGAACTCGAAAAGCACTCTGACAGCTTCGGCTTGAAATAACTCGGAAAAGGACCCAAAAGTAAAGGGGGGGGGGGCGAGGAATGGTGGGGGGGGGGAGGCTTGGGAAGTGTCACAGGCTTTCTTCGATCTTAACACCCGCCAAGATCACGGATCCTCTACGATCTGCAAAAAGCGGGGCAAAGACTGGGGGAAACTTGGCCGGTATAGACAATACACCTCCGAAGAGAATCCGAGTTCCCCAAACAATCCCCTTAACTGGCCGCCGAGAAACAGCAGATCCTTCTTGACCGGCTCAAAGGACGCCAAGGTTTTCATTTAAAAAAAAAAAAAAAAGAGGGAAGAGGGGGATGTTGAAGGCGGGGAGTGGCGGGGAGGAGGTGGGCTGGCTACAGATGATCCCAGTCGGGGGGCAGGGGAAAGGCGGCGGGGGCGGGGGGGCAAATCCGAGGCAGGTCGAAGGCGAGGAGCCAGTGTGCTCGGAGCATCACACAAAAGACCCGAAACAAACATAAACCTGCGGGGAGATGGGGGGCAGGGTGGCCTCGGCCCGGGACCGGCGGGGGCCGGGGTCTCCGCCTCTGCCCCTCGGCCCGGGGCGGGGAGGGCGGGAGGGGGGCGAGGGTGCGGCTCCGGGCCGGCGAGCGGGAGCGGGTGCAGCCGCGAGGCGGGGGATGGGGGTGGGGGTGGGGAGGGGGAAGCGCGAGCGCGAGGGAGCGCGCGAGCAGCAGCCGGGCGCGTGCGGCTCCCGAGGCCGCCGCCGCCGCCGCCGCCGCCACCCCTGGGCCCGCAGCAGGCCCGGCGGGCCGCCTCCTCACCTCCCGCACGTCCTGCAGGCACTCGAGCACCGCCAGGTTGTTGCTCCAGGTGTGCCGGGGGCACACGCGGGTCACGTCCTCCCTGCAGAACTCTTCCTCCGCCAGCTTCCAGCCCCCGCTGGCCCCCGCTCCGCCCCGCCGGCCCACAGGCCCGCCCGCCGGGAACGGCGGCTGAGGAGGCTGAGGCGGCTGCTGCTGCTGCTGCTGCTGCTGCTGTTGCTGCTGCGGCGGCTGCTGCTGCTGGGGCTGCTGCTGCTGCTGCTGCTGGAGCTGCTGGAGCTGGTGCTGAGAGGACTGAGGGATCTGGAGCAGCGGCTGAGCCTGCCCGCCGCCTCCCGCCTGTCCTCCGAAGGACCCAAGGTTATTCCCCGGGCCCGGGCCCTGGCTGTGGAGTTTCCGGGCCCCGGCCGCGGCGAGGAGCAGCAGCTGCAGCGCCGCCGACAAGCGGAACATCCTCCGTACACGTCCACACGCCGCCATCTTGGGTCCGCGGCGAGCTCGACGCACCCGCCGGCGCGGCGTATTTAAATGAGGGGGCGGGGCCGGGGCCGGCGGGGCGCAGCCGGGCTCCGCCCCGGCCGGCGCGGGAGCCGCGAGGAACGAGGCCGCGCTCGCCGCTTCCCACGCCGCCGACCTCGGCGGGCACGCGGCGCGCTTTCCCCGGTGACTCGCCGGTGCGCCGTCCGCGGGAAATAAAGAACTAGGCCTGCCTAGGGGCGGCTCTGGCCCGACTCCCTTCGTTGGCGTCGCAGGAAAATGGAAAGGACGCGGGGGCGCCACAACCAAGATGGCTGGTACAGCGTGTCGTCCGTTCCACGACTTTGAAGAAGAAGGAAAAAAAAAAAACTTTGTATGTGTCGAGGGGAAACTTGACCAGTTCAGGGGGATTCCGGAGTCTGAGAGGCCCCTCCTGACTCCCTCCGTCACCCTCGGAAGTTGAGCCCGGGATGACCGGAGCGTGCAAGGAGGAGGGTGAAGGGGCACCTAGCCCGGGACCGGAAAGGAGCCGCTTAGAGCCTGGGCCCGTGGCGACCAGGCAAATCCTTGCAGCTTCTGAGTCTCTTCTGCTCGTGAGCGCATGGGAGACCCGTCGGATGTAGAATGTGATTGTGAAGATCAAGTGCCTGACCCACAAAAGAAAGTTCAAAACATATCTTTGAGGTTAAGCCTGTGCGTTGGGAAAGGTTTTTTGTTTTGATCCGGTTTTGGTGTTCATACTCAGCGGTGCTCAGGGCTCCTGGCGGTGCCAGGGGGACCATGTACGGTGCAGGGAATCCAACCCGGCAAGGCAAGTGCCTTAGCCCCTGTACTAGCTGTCCGCCCCCTAGTAAAGGTTCTTGCAGCCACTGCACTAAACATCTTCAGCTTCCTGCGATGTTGCTCACTGGTAGTGTCTGCCTTGCACAGTGAGGCCACGAGTGCATACCTATAATAGTTAGAGGTATTTTTATTTTTTTGCTTTTTGGGTCACACCCCGCGATGCACAGGGCTTACTCCTGGCTCATGCACACAGGAATTACTCCTGGCGGTGCTCGGGGTACCATATGGGATGCTGGGAATCCAATCGGGGTTGGCCACGTGCAAGGCAAATACCCTACCCACTGACCTATTGCTCCAGCCCCTATTTTTATTTTTGTGTTGCTGCCACCATGCTCAGGGACCCCTTGTACTGCATCACCCGTGTGATTGGCAGGGAGATCCTCTATAACTGACAGCAAAGGGGGGGGGGCTAATATTAGATACAGATATTTCTGATGTTAATCTCTTACTGTGCTAATTTGTCAGTAGAAGTTAGTTTCGCTTGGTTTTGGGTTGGGGGCCATACCAAGCAGCACTCCTCAGGGCTTGCCTCGTCATGCAACCTCGCTCTTGCTCACTCTCCTATAAATTTTATGGGCCAAGACATAGTATCCAGGTGGCCCACCCAGCATTACACAGTAGGTCCCTGAGCACCACCAGATGTGGTCCCTGAGCATGGTGGGTTGTGTCTGCAACTGTAGCACTGTGGCACGGTCCTACCTTTGTTCATCAGTAACATCTCCATTGTGAGACTTGTTACTGTTTTTGGCATATTGAATACATCACGGTAGCTTGCCAGGCTTTGCTGTGAGGGCAGAATAGTCCCAGTAGCTTGCTAGGCTGTCTGAGAGGGGCGGAGGAATCAAACCCGGGTCAGCCACGTGCAAGGCAAACGCCCTATCCGCTATGCTATCGCTCGGCCCTGTGTCCGCAACACTAAAATAAAAATAAACCTTAGGTATATATAGAAAAAACTATGTGTGTGAGAGAGGTATATACTACTCCTGATCTTGGGACATTATGAGAAGTCTTGGATGTATATCCCGTTGACTAATGGGGTGCTTACTAGCAAGGCATAAGTAAATCTCAGGCAGGTTAGAAATATCAGTAAAAGTTCTTTAAAAATCAAAGGAGCCTTAATGAACTATGTGTTAATCCACCCACGCCACCATGTCTGCCCAGAGGGGAAAGGGTGTTGGTCCCTTCGGCCCTCTTCCCTCTGGAAAGAAAGAAAGATGGCAGCCGCTTGGGAGCTTTGTGGAAAGCCAGGTATGAGCTGGTCGTGGTGGGGCGACTAAAAAAAACCTCATGGGAAGGGGGGCGTTCCCGGCTCGTCCTTCACGCCCTACCGAGGTCACCGGTTGCCCCCCACGAGCGGCTCTCCGGCACGACCATGGCTCCAGAGCACAGAAACCAATCTCTTAATTATCTGACTCTCAGCAGAAATACTTCCAGGGTTAATAAGCAAAATAGCAGAAATCCAAAACCTCGACATCATTTAATTCTTGAACCCAGCTGTAGAAAGCAAATCATTTCACAATGCTTTTTCAGCATGTCTGATTTGGGGGGTGTAAACTCTAAATAATAATGGTGCATCTTTTGTCGAAACAGTGAATCTAGTCAAAGTAGATAGAGTGTTAACTAGAATTCATCTGCCTCACAGGCATTGGGAGGATTGGGGGAGGTGGGGGTTTATTGGGGTTCTTCGTGGTGAAAAATAAGTATTGGTAAAGGGAAATGTGTTTGATGTTTGCATGACCAAGACCTAAACCTGAAAGCTTTGTAACTTTTCCCACAGTGATTCAATAAATAAATAAATTTAAAAAAAATCAAAGGAGCCATTAATTTTATTATTGTTAGGGGGCAACACCAGGCTTGTACTCAGAGATCACTCCTGAAGTACCCAGGGAACCTCGTGTGCCACTGGGGATCAAACCCTGGTAGGCAGAGTGCAAAGCAAGCACCCTACCAACTACCTGTAGAAGATGGGGTCGTGGGGAGGAACCTGAGAACTTGTGGTGGGATTGGTGCTGGAACACAGTATGTTTAGACATATGCTAGACAGTATGTTTAGCCCATCTACAGGAGAAGCATGCTGAAAGTAGACTATAGACCAAACATGATCGTCACCCACTGCCTCTTTTGCAAACCACAACACCCAATAAGAGAGAGAGAACAAAAGGGAATGCCCTGCCACAGAGGCAGGGAGGAATGGGGAGATGGGGGTGGGAGGGATACTGGGATCCATGGTGGTTGGAAATGGGAACTGGTGGAGGGATGGGTATTTGATCATTGTATAACTGAAACCCAAGCACAACAATCTGTAAGTCTACAACTGTACCTCATGGTGTCTCACTAATAAAAATCTAAAAATAAATAAAATATCAAAAAAAACCCATCTACAAATAACTTTGTAAATCACGGTAATTGAATATTTAAAAAAAAACTATAGAGATATTTTTTTGCCTCTCTGAGCACAAAAATTTGTAAGTCTACAAGTGTACCTCATGGTGTCTCACTAATAAAAATTAAAAAAAAAACTATATAGATAGAACATAGTTTAAAAATATGGGTTTCAGGCTCAGTAGCAGAATACTTGCCTTGCACATATAAGGCCTTGGGATAAATCTCCTGCACCACAAAGAAAAAGAGAGATGGGTCTGGGTATGCAAATGAGAATAAACTACTTTAAAACTTCAATGGACATACTTTGCATTCAGGAATCCCAGATTTGCACCCTGGCACCCCATGAGAACTGAGAACTGCTGGGAGTGACCCCCAAGCACAGAACCAGGTGCAGCTCCTGAACACTGCCAAGCATACTTCCTCTCCTCCTCTACTCGCCCCAAACGGGCAATTCTTGCAATCTACTGAGGGCAGCAGTTGCCTATCTCTCAGCTGAACTGAGGAAATCCTACACCCCGCCACAGACTGGAGATAGGATGGAGTCATATAAGTGCCTATCTTGAAATCAGTGACCAAGCAGCAATAAGAAAAATCTGGGAACGTGGCCAGCTTAAGCTGTGCCAGGCAAGCATGGCCCTTTTACATCAAGCACAAACTCCCCAGCTAGGGGAAAGAGGATTAACCTAACCTGGTCATCTGGCTTCATTGATTTTCAGAATGTAATAGACTATATCACTAGGTAGAATTTCATTTGACTCTTTATTGAACTGTTGCCTTCTTCTTCATTCCCCAGTTCATTCAATAGACAGGCACTGGGTAATTCAATAGCTATTGGGTAATTTGGGTAATTCTGAGACCAGAGAAATTGTATAGGAGTTAAGGCACCTCCTTGTATCCTGCTGACCCTGGTTCAAATTCTCGGAACTACTTATGGTACCCCAGCACCACAAGGGTTCATCCCTGAGCACTGAGTACCACTAGGTGTGGTCAAAAAAAAAAAAAAAAACTAGACAGGCTTGTAAAAAACTGGGTATGAGGGCCTGTAAAGATAGTACAGGAAGTTGGGTCCTTGCCTTACATGAAGTTGACACAGGTTTGTTCCCCAGCATCACATATGATCACCCAAGCCTGCCAGGAATGATTCCTGAGCACAGAATCAGGATTTAGCCTTGAGGATTGCTGGGTTTTGACCCCCACTCCCTCCCTAAAAAAGAACTGGATCTGAAGTTGTCCTAGTATTCTGGTCTGCTATAACAAGTTACTACAGTCTCCGTGGCTTATAAACAACCTGAGTTTATTTTGTTTTGGTTTTTGGGACCACATCTGGATATGCTCAGGCATTACTCCTGGAGGGCTTGGGGAACCATATGGTATGCCAAGGACTAGAATCCACATTAGCTATAAGCAAAGCAAGTGCTCTCACTTCAGCCCCTAAACAACCTGAGTTTTTCATAGTTCTGGAGGCTGCAAATCCAGAAATCAGGATGCCAGCATAGTCCAGTTCTGGCAAAGTCCATCTTGAGATTGCAGGATGCCAACTTCTTGCTGTCTTCAACTGGAGCCAACAGTTAGGGTTCTCTGGGGGATGTTATATAAAACAGAACAACGATCCCATTCATGGAATTTGATCCTCAGGATGTATTCCCTGTGCAAAAATGGGGAAAAAAACCACCTCTGGGGATGGAAAGGTAGTATTGCCTTACATACAGTTGACCCGGGTTCTATCTTAGCCACCCCATATCCCCGCCCCAAGCACTGCCAGGAATGATTCCTGAGCTCAGAGCCAGGTGTA